CTTTACTCATTTCTACACTCATGTTACCTTCACAAATCATGTCTGAGCAGCAGGGCAGCTCTCGGAACGCAGCTGAAGATATGCAGAGAGGGTGGGAAAGTCCCTTTCGGCAAGTGACAGAAGTACGTGGCTATGGTCCATATTCTACACCTCAGGGACTACTAAATATCGGATATTTGAGTGCTTATATATACTCCAAATACAATCATATACTCATTTAACCTTAGATCATCTCGCCCGACCACTGAGGATGTGTTCAAGATGCACTCGATACAGGCCACGTGCGTGGGAAATGCTTAGCCGAAATAGCCGATTATTAACGGGCGGTAATTTCGTCGAAGTTTGTTATTACCGGGGGATTTCTATGTTATTTACGGGGGGCATAATGTACTGGAATGTCATGAAAGTAGGTATATTATTACCGGGGGACTGAAAAATTATTACCGGGGACCTGATTTATTTTTTGAACACTTTAACACTCATACTTTCCTATGACAACCACCGAATAGCTGTTCTAACCTGATAGGTCTGTCTCGAGTCCAACGTTGGGTGCTTATTAATATGGGAGCTTGTTTCAGGGGTTCGATGATACGATGGTAACCGACCCGGGCGCTAAATCGACGTTTATGGATAGGGACCCGTTTTCGTGCGAATTGAGCCTGTAGGAATACGCCTCAGCGTTTTCACTGAATTCTAGCGTTCAGGTACGTTCTGAGAATACAATATATCAAGAAAAGTAGATACAAGAGTCTGGTCATTGAACCCAAAGCGAGCACTCATAGACACGAAATTATAAGCCGTGAGTTTCACGGCTCACCTGTCATTGTTGTTCTTGAACATCGGGAATGAAGACGAGCTTGTACCGCCGTCATATCTCCCCGCACCACCAACATGTATAGATCCCTTACATCTACTGCCTTGGTTCAACCTATTCAGCGCGAGGGTAAACGACGCACCTTGGGATCAATGACTGAGCTTTCAATGGGAGCATTCATCGATGCAATTGTAGTACGTCCAACCGCCTGAAAGGTTCCAAGTTCCACACTTTCCATGTTGACGGTAATAGTTGTTGAGTTGTCGAGCGACTTTCGCATGTTGAGGCTGGATCGAGAATTAAGAATACGAAGGGTCATGAGCTTAAAAGTCCAACGAACGTCGATAACAACGAGCTGGTATACACTGCGTACGTACGAGTCAAACTTTGAACTCTCAAATGGTAGCGGCCCACGTACGGTTTGCGATGTTCACGTAGATTGAGGCATACACGAAATTACGGATGTCTAGACTAAGCTTGAAGGTAAAAAGAGCTGAGTGAAATGGAGTAGTCAAAGATAATGAATTTACGCACACAAATCATGATAGAAATACTAGTGACGCTGTAGATGGGCCAAATTGTAAGATTGCCCGGGCCAGCCACAGTATTACTTGGGAGAAACTTGCCTTGTCAGTGCTCCATTATTGATCGTATATATGATCAGTTTGTTGATAAGAGTGTTTGTTCTGCCAACGAATTCGTCAACGTTTTAGGTGTCGAGTTGCATCAGCTAGCCTCAAAACCCATCGGCTTACCTCCTAATACCGCTGCGGCCTTTATGAAGATAGTACGACAACGCCAAAGCACACGAGACGTCACAAGCAACAACGGATGAGAACTCGGCATACATGACCCGCTATGCACACGACAAGTAAGCGACTGTCATTACTGCGAGGAGTTCGAACTTACTCTTGTTGCTGCATCTTCCGCAATACGGTCAAGGGACTGCAGCTGGTAACTTTGGTGAAATCTTGAGCAGGTAGCCAAAGATGGTATCGACACTTGAAAGCCACGCACATTCCAGCTATGGCAACTATTCGGTGTCAGTGAGTGGATGATGGGGTACTGGAACGAATACCTGCGGACAGGACTTTTGAAGAGAACAATAAGTTTAGGCCAGCGACCGTGATAGTCCTATATCACACACCAATTTCGGTAACCATCAAAAATGACTAGATCGCCGTGCTAAGGTTTGTCTTCAACGATGAAGCAGTTACGAACCAGTAACATTGGTACTACCCAATCCTTTCGATAGCTCACTATAGAACTGTCAATGGCTGATCAATATGTGCCAATTATGAATGCTTACTCTGATAGATCCGTACGATATAAAACGACTGAACATTAACAGCAATGAGCAGCTGAAGTCTAGACGTTAGTTTTGCCTCAAACAAAAGTCATTCTCGCTCACCGTTAACGGCATAATCATCTGTACAACAGCTCAATGTGATAAAGGTAAATTAGAACGATCTTATTCGACTTACAATGGTGCTCCTGTATGTGGATGTAACTAGGAACGGGTCCAAACCACACAATCAGTAGACTGTAGACTGACCAGGCAAGTTTTGACATGGCGGCTATATTTGCGAAATTTGTGATGAGGTAAAAGTAAATCGTATGAATGCACATTATTTCGTGCAATGTTCCAAGGATACTGTAAACGATACATCAATATCAGCGTCTTGGGAATGGAGAGATGAAGATCTTTGAAGACTTGCGCTGGGATATGACCTGCCTTCACTTTAGCTATTTGCCATGATTGATGAAGAGCTGAGACCCACCATGACTCGAAACAGATAACCGTCATTGTAGTTTCGGAAGTAAGACCAAACTTGAAGGCAAGTAACACCATACAAGCTATAATGCCAACAGTTACAGGTGAGCGTGGTCTTGGATTGGAAAATGATGCTGGAGTTGCGTACCAAGATGATGCAATAACTGAGACTAAAAGTGCCCCTAGCGTAACGTCCAGAGATTCAGGGCGAGCGGGCATGGTTATGTAGCGGCGGTCAGTCGCTCATATAGAAAGAAGCTGGGTTTTATATGACCCTAGTGGCCAAAAATACTCGCCTCATCACAATCAGATAGACGTCAAGACTAGATCCATCAGTTTGTGTAAATTCGGCGAAATGACATGAGAAACTGACTATCCTGTATTGTGCACCGTGACGCTGCTCAGTAATCAAAATCCCAAAGCCTGTCGGGCTTGATTTCGATACTCTGATTCGTTTCTTGCTTCCCCTAGGCAGTCAAAGACGTTGAATGTCAATAGTTTTGAGCTAGTGTCGAGGACACATAACGTACCCGAGGGTGATCGTCAGCTACATCATCTGTCAGACAATGTCGGAAAGAGAAGAGGTAATCTCAATGCATTGACGTGTGGCAAGCGTGTCAAAAACTTGAAGGCGCCGTGTTACGCTAAAGTCCGGAGCCTTGATTCCCAGCAGCGTTTCTGATTGAGGACTGGGAGTTGCAGGGGAAACGCAAAGAAGGTAGTCCTAATCGGCCTAAAGTCACTCCATAATTATATGTACAACCGAAATTCCGCACCCTTCATGACATCTGCTGTAAAATTACAGTTTAAATGAGCGCTCGATGTGTCCAACAACAGCACCGGCGTTAACGGGGGAATACTCAACATTGACAGAAGATGATTGCAATCATGATTCGAGGTTGACACTGGCAAATGGGTTATACCATTCTGATGATTCCCTTGCTGTACTGAAAACTTCGGCTCTAAGAGTCTTAACTAGCAGCCAATAATACCGACAAGATTACATCGTTTTTGAGTTTCCTATTAGTATGCGAGATCAATGTCGTCACAGAAAAGCTGCAATGAGTGCGCTTCCAGAATCATGCAAATCAGTATTCTGAGGCCCAGAGTCAGTTCACCGTCGACTCACCCTGATGGGATCTATCACAGTACCTAAAAGGCTTGGAGGTACGGATTAATCTGGCTTGTGCGACTTCGTTTCGATAGAAAGTAGATACTGATGGTAAATAGTGGCAGGGGAACTGAGACTGAGAGGATCATGGAGGAACGGAGAAAGGTGTGAAAATCAAAGGCCTAGACTCGCAATCACCTTCGGCATACTCCGGCATGGGGAATCGCCATTGGAACTCCGCTTCGTGACTACAACAATACTCTACCGAAGCGAAGCGCTGATGGGCCAGCTACAGCAACGCCAACACCGGTACTGGCAATGACAATGGTACAGGCAGCGAACCCATAGGCATCACCGCCCCAGACGGCCAACCCGAACCACTGTCCTCGAAATCAACAGTCTACTCCCAATCTACCCCCAGATTCAGTCGTAACCTGCTTCGCCATCCAACTCTTCCAGCTCGGAAAACACTGGCACCATAGCAGGTTGATCCTGATAGGGTCATTGTAGGAGGTCCAGTGGGAAGGATGAGTCAAATACTGGGAGGTAGGAGTGTTTTGAGTGCGTGTCTCTTCCTTCTGTTTTCTTTTATTCATGCTGATGAACGATAACAGGCCCGAGAGGCTCACCAGGTGCATCAACACTCACCCAAATTCTAATCGACGACAACGAAGACGACAATATGTCAACGCCACGTCTATAGGCGGAGGTGTCGTTTCATCCGGTTGTTCGCTCCTGTACATTCACAGCATGGACATTCCCCACACCCCAGCCAAACGACGTTCCTCAATCCCTCAGGACCTCCACCTCAGTCGCCCACAACCACCGACAATCACTACACCAGCGTATGGCAAGTGCAAGGGGTTGGCGTCACCCGTACCCTGGGCCTAGTCTTCCCATTACCACACCATCTGTTGTGTGCTCGTCACATCACAATGGTGTTTGGGCAGGTGCGAGGATGAGTCCAGGCAGATTCGCAAAAGAACGCGAAGCCTACGCCGGCAGGTATGCCTATCCTACAACATCACTGCCACCCCATCCTAACCGACTTCCTAGCACCACATGGCCCTTCTTCCTACATCTGATGTAACAGACACTTGCCGAATGGGACGATGTCCGCGTCGGCGCCCGTACCTTTCGATACACAATACCAAACCCAGTCTCGGCTTCCGCCCAACACCAACACCAACGACTTGTGATGGCGAACAATCTTGGGAACAGCGGAAAGCATCTCTTGCTGAAGGACCGTTGCGTTCGAGGGGAGGAGGGGGTCTGACCAGGGATGTCAGCGGTGGTGTAGTTCCGCTATGGTGTAGTGGCTAACGATATCGCCTCTCATATACTGTTTCGCGGGGCTTGTGCAGGAGTGCGATAGCTGAGGGTTCGATTCTCTGTAACGGAATTAATTCCATGCAATTGTTGAAATTTTTGAACTTTCCCGGTCCCGGTATGGGTGTGGTATAAATCGTGTCTGATGTCTACTGTATATTTTTTCCTTCTCAATTGTTTCCTTTCATTTTACCAGTTACGTTCTCTCGTCCAAAGTTCCGGACAAGCGTCCAGGGGCTTTCCGAACACTTTCGAGCTGTGGTGTTATTCGGGGAGCCATATACTTGGGCTATAAGGTGAGAAAGATAATAATAAAGTTGACCTACCCTAAAGTGGAAGCTTGAATATTGAATTCCGAGGTGTCAAGTAAGGATGGCGTTTACAATCTGCCAAAAGTTCGATGTACTGGGGCTTGGGTTCGGTACTGGTGTGGTTAATTGCTTCTACCTTCGTACTCTTAGGGTATTCATCAGACTCATGGCCAATTGAACGTTCAAGATGATCTCGAGCTCTCAGCTTTCCGACAGTATACTAACTGCTATCCCAGTCGCTTTCTTCGGAAATTAATTTTTAGCCTTGGGACGCGAAACGAGAGATCCGCACACACCAAATCGACGCTCAGAATTGTGATTCTGCGCGTCTGCCTCGCCTGGAATTCGTGCTGAGGGCTGCTAGTATAATTGTCTTGTTAGCTTAATGCGGTAGATAGCGCAAGATTAGCCTGTACCCTCATTTCAATGACCTCTCCTACAGCGTCGGCGGGAACCCTGGTCGATGTAGCCGCAAATCTAGTCGTCTCGGTGGCTCTGAATGTTCCAAACTCCAGCGTATCGATAGTAATATGTGTCGTGTTTGAGAGTGACTTTCGCGAGTTCAACCTATTGCAAGAGTATCAAGTTAGCTGTGTGATGACCGGTGCAACCAAAAGTTGACAAACGTCGATAGGAGCGAGCCAGAATACACTGCAGTATTTGTAGCGTCAGAGCTTTAGCCACGAAGGTAAACATTCACGTACAACTCCCGAGGTTTACATACGCCGAAATATATAAGAGATTGCTGGGTTGAAGTTGGATCTGGCAAAGAAAGCAGTGCCTCAGTTATGATATCGTATACTTGAGCACCGTGGAGCAACACACAAGGAAGATGATAGTAATTGCGACGGAACTATGGGCAGTTATGGGTCAGCGTGAACGGTGATAGGTATAGTCTACTCCCCTCGTCAACGCTCCGTTATTTATTGTGAAAATAATGAGTTTGTTGATGAGATTATCGGTGCTGACAAGTGAAGACATTTAGCATTGCATTGTTCTGACAATTAGAACCACAGCTCACCGCTTGAGACCAGAGCGACTTTTGTGGAGGTAATACGATAACGTGACGGTGCATATCACATCGCAAGCGACAAGAAGTGAACAACCAGCTTGGGAGAAATCCTTTAAACTCTATCGGCAAGTATCGAGTTGATAGATAAGAAAACCAATTCACGCGTATCTCCTTGTCCATTGCAATGCCCCCGACGGTCTCCTTTCCGTAACTGATCCGAAAGTGTCTCAAGATGTGCTGAGGAGTGTTCTAAGAACACTCACATTTTGGATATAGCCACTGTCAACACAGACAGTCAGAGACTCTTGTTGCTTGTGTAAAGTGAAGGATTATACCTGCGGTCAATCCTTGAAAAGAGAAGTTAATACAATGTTGATAGCCAGCTTCGGTAAAAATCACCCACCAAGTTCAGCTGTGTTCAGAACACACTAAATCATTATTCAGATATCAACATTTACGACGAAAAATGTCCACAAACCACTATCGTCGGGGTCCACCAATCCTTATTTTCACTGACTACAGCAAATTAGCGGTACTGATTGAAAATTGCGAGTCAAATGCTTACGCCGATAGATACGAAGAGCGTAGAATGATTGGACGATGAGAGCATTGGCTACCTATAATTGTGACGTTACGCCTGGGTCAGATTGGAGTTGGTTTTCCGCACCGTCAATGGTATCACCGCCTGTTCATGTTCAATTAATACGAAACAGAAGCCATAACATCCGAGTCTACTTACCACGATGCTCCTATGCGCATCTGTATTGTTATAATGAGTCTCTATGAGAAAGGCACGGGACTGACCAGACGAATCTCGTTAAACCTGATGGATTTGCAAAGTTTATAATCAGATAATAATATATTGTATGAATGCACATTATTTCGTGCGCCGTTCCAAGTACACTATGGCTGAGCGTGAGCATATATATGACTGAACAAATGAGAACAATGACTGACATTAGGGAAAGAACCTGTTGGAGTTGGCACAGGTTCAAACACTGGGAACGCAGAAAGAAGTAAGATTCACGATAAGTCGTAACCCAAGACGATCATTGTAGTTCCGAAAGTAGGACCATGCTTGAAGGCATGTAACGCCGTACATGCTGTGGAGATGAATGGGTATGAACGAAGCAGGATATATTAAACATGGTACGTACCAGGATGCGAGGATGATTCCAATTAGAGATGCACCGATGGTAAAATCAAGGGAGCGTGGGATAGGTTGAGAGGACATGGCGAGGCTCGCTATCAATCACCTGGGAAACACAAAGAGGGTAGAGTTCGACCAGCTCAATGGCAAAGACGTCCATTTATGCGACAAATAGCCCATTCATCATGATCCAGTGAGCAAGGATCAATGCCTGTTCCAAAATCAGGTTTTCCATCACGAGTATATGAAGTATTACCGTCTAGATCGCATTTCCCATCCTGATATCACAGAGCATCGCCGTTCTATCCCAAAGGACTTGCAAAAGCAGCACAACGCCCGGTTCCAAAGAATCTAACACAGCAAGCGTGCTCAGAATAATCAGCTGGTGACAGACCTGAGGGGAAGCGTCGGCAAGGTAGGAATAATCGATCTACACGGCACTGAGCATACGCAATACCCAAGGAACGAAAGTCATTATCGATAGAAATTGAGAAGCCAAGAAGCGAATCATTGGTGCTACTTACCAAGAATTTGGCAGGGCTAGGGATCGAGATTATAGGGAAGCAATGACAGCGACAAAGACGGAACTGTGAACAGTTATGACTAGTGTAAGGGCCGCGTCGATAGCGATGGGCCAAGCTTTACTCCTCTTGGCAACGCACCATTATGAACGGTGTAAAAATGAGCCTGTTGATAAGAGCATTTGTACTGAGAATAGGGAAATAGGGTGATTCGAAGCGGAACCAGAGCCACTTACCGCTGAATCCCCGTGCGGCTTCTGTGAAGGTAATGCGATAATGCCACCGTGCAGACCATGTCGCAAGCAACAAGGAGAAAAAGGCCTGCTTGCATATAAAGAGCAATTAGAGAAGAAGAGGGTCTACTCTACTTCATCAACAGCGGGCAATGTCAACTGAAGCATCAGCTCTGCGGAGTCGCTGGTCATTTATATAAAACAAGTCTTGAAGCTTGATGTGCAATGGAAGGTCAGCTCAGCTGAGTCTATCGAGTTCCATCTATGGGAGAGCGAGATTGAGTGAGGAGAGCTTTGAGCCGAAATTTGACTCTCCGGAAATCAGCCGGCCCTAAATTGCCACGTGATCATCGCTCGAAGGCAGCGCGTGCAGCCCTCATTCTTACCTCGTTCTCAACCGATTCTCAATGCATGGGCTCCTGAGATTAGCCCGAAAATTGGTCGTCAGAGGTAAGTATAGGTGGATAAATCTTGTCGTGAAAGATGAATATGCCACAGTGACAAGAGGCAATTTAGGGCATCCGATTTGGTGCGTGATACCGTCGCATCACCTTTTCCTAATTGTTGATCGACGTGTAGAAGATTAGATCTATACAACTCTCTACTTGAAGATGGCGACGTTAAACTAGCTTCAGAATTCAGCTTCATCCCGGACCACAGCTCTTGCATCAACCCAGGGCCTTGTCCAAGAAAACGTACCAGGGGACAATGAACGGTCGGGCGAATGCCACGTTCTATTATGCTTGGGTGGAAATGCCACGAACAAGCACAGCATAGGAAACAACAACAACAATGCTTTGGCCACATATACCGCCTGGACCATTCTATATCCAGTATAAATACGAACCAATGTCAGTATCAGGCTTCTCACCACCACTTTCTGGCAGCTTTCAACTCATCAATTTCCTCATGTCCTCCCACACGCTCTCACCGCTGGACGAAGCTGTTCTTCGTCTACAGGAGACGAGAGACAAGTGGACGAGGCAGATAAACGAGCTGTTCTTTGATGTATGTCTCCTTCCCTGTCGTGCTAGAATGCGCAGGCTGACCCATCATTTGTACATCTAGCTTGGTGGAGTTCTTATGCTCTTGACCCTCGGTATGGTGTGGCTTCTTGACCCGAGACGGTAAATTTGTTGAGGCTCCTCTTTATCTGAAGATCTGACACTGACCTGGCCATAGGACCCACGATCTTCCTTCTCTTCCATCACCAAATCAAGTCTTTCTCCCGCTCGTATTCACGTCTTCCTTGGTTGTTTGGAAAATCCGAAACGCCACACTCAAATGGATCAATGAATGCCTTCTTCTTGGGTATACCGTCGTTGAAAAGGACGACGCTGCGTTGCTTTATACCCTCCGACGTAGACCTGAGTGTCAAACTGGATCACCATCCGACTCAGAGTGCATTGCACCTCTCAACTCACATCGGATATGGCGCCCTCTGTGGTGCGCACAATGCATGCTGATCGTTGCATCGCATTTCGCTTGGGTTGCGATCTACAGTGAGGGAGAGAAAGCAAACCTCGCTACTTTCTGTGCGGGAATGTCAATTCCCTTATACGTGATGCTCCTTTGTCGCGTATGGTATGTAATTCGGGAAGAGCTGGAGGCGAGGAAGGTGTGCGAGCCTTATTGGCAAGGGCTGGGGCTGGAGAAGGAGCAAATGGACGTTTTGTGTGACGAGTTTAGAGTATGATTATGGCCTATGACTACACCTATGTGTTATGTGCTTTGAAGAATTTATCTAACAAGTCATCAAAAAAAGCGACTCGTAATACCTCAACTTGACGTGACGCGTTCAAGGTCACGTGTGACATGTGAGAGGCGGCAAGTCAGCACTGTTGTC